GGAAAAATGTATTTGCAAGGCTCTTTCATTTATTATAGGAAGTAAGATTTCTCTTGGAAGGAAAAAGTTTATGAACAATTGTATGGGTTTTATTGTTAAATGAACAGATATTGATATAGCTTGTACTCTATTAAGTTTCTAGAGTAGGAACCAGATAGAAAGCAAAGGCATGCTTCATATATCAAGGAAAAAACAGTGAAACTAATGTCATAGTGGAGGAATGTGTAAAGACTGAAAACCTACTGCTCTTCTTTGGCCTGCTCTTAGGAAAAAGGACAGATAGGCTTTTTGCTTATGTCATTCCTTGAGTGCCCAAAAACTCTTTGGAAGTTTTCTTATTTGTTAAGAAGTTTGTGTAAAATGTAGAATTCTGAAAATAAAATATAGGTCTGTGGCTTGCATCCCAGAATCTGACAGTATGTGTTTGGTTTAGTTCCTGGAATATCTGTGGGTTGGCAGTCACGAACTAGAATCTGGGACAGTGTATATGACTGACTGCTAGCCAGAAGGCTAGAATTCTAGACTCAACTCTGCCAACTTTTGGCTGACATTAATAATGAGTCATTTTGTCCCAACAGATACCTTTTGGCCTACTGATGAGCTAGTTATTCGGTGAGGTTCTGTTGTAGGAGGCATCGAGATAAGTACAGTTAGTCTAAGAAAGTAATAAATATGAAAAGGAGAAGAGAAGCCAGACACTGGTGTATCTTACCTATAATACTAGCTACTTAGGAGACTTAGGAGATTTTGATTCAAAGCCTACCTGAACAGAAAAGTCTATGAAACTTACTTCCAGTTAACCGGCAGAAGGCCAGAAGTGGAGGTATAGCTTAAAGTGGTAGAGCACCAGCCTTGAGCGAAAAAGCCAAGTGAGAACTTGAGGCTGTAAGTTGAAGCCCCAGTGTTGGCACTCACAAACGAAAGTGTAGATAAAAGTGAATTCTTGGGATATGAAATAAAATTAAAATGAAATACTAAATGGAATAGATTTTATAGGAAAGGAGAATTTTTGGAACTTGTTCTAAAAGCAGGGTTACAGTCTTGGTGCTTGAAAATAAATCAAGGTAAAGAAAGAGAGTTAGACTGTATCTCAGTAAGTTTGTAGTACTCTTGTTTTGCTTTTGGTACCTGTCCTGGGGTTTGAACTCAGGAACTGGACACTGTCTCTGAGCTTTTTTGCCCAAGGCTAGTACTCTACCACTTGTGCTACAAATCTACTTCTGGCATTTTGCTGATGAGTCTCACAGATATGGCTGCAATCCTCAGCTCTCAGCTTTCCTGAGAGCTAGGATTATAAATGTGAAACACTGGTGCTCAGCTTAGTACTCTTTTATCTGAGGCAGTACCCCCAAATTGCTATCAATTAATGAAGCAGCCATGTGTACTGGTGCAACTTACTTGTTGTAATTTCTAAAGTAAAATGTTCTATTTTACTTGGTTAACAAATATATGCATATACATTTATGTATGTATGTGTGTATACATATGTGTGTGTAGTCTTTCAGAATAACCAAATTGAAGTTGTCTATAAGGAAATAAAGTAATGATGGTCTATTGTGGTGCACACTTTTGTAATCTTAGCATTTTGGACCCTGAGGCAGGAGGATCTTGAGGCCAGCCAAGGCTGCTGTACTGAGGCACTGGCTTTAAAGAGAACATAAGAGAAAATTGCTTTTCTGCCAGGAGTAAAGAACACTAACAGATAACATAAAAAAGAATTTACTTCTTTAAACAGAATTTAGAACATCAGACTGGAAAATCAAATCAGTTAAGCTTCTCATTTGTTAAATAAGGAGATTGGATTAGATAACTGGCAGCTTTTTAATCATATTTAACACTAGTTATTTTTAGAACAGTTCACAAAGGTCCCATGATTTCAGCAGCCCTTTAATGAATCCATGAAATATGTCAAACATTCATTATACTTTATTTAACTCCCTCATCACCATTTTAAGGTGGTAGAAGCACAGGCTACTTTTTTCTTCCTCTTTCTTTTCTATCTCTTCCAGTTGAATGTAATTTTCCTCAGATAATGTATGTCTTTCATTCATAGTTTGCCCCATGGTCTTAACATAGGAACTGACATCTATTAGTGTCTGAACATCTGGAAGATACTCGGCAGTGTTAGAAAGATGAAGAAGCATCTGAGGCCACTATACTGTTCATAACTAGCGGTCCTATTGTTTGGTTTGTTCATATGATTGCCTTCCTCTTTTTGTCTTAGTGTATCCTCTAGTCTCTTTTAATTAGAAATCGACTCTATCAGGCTTTGTAAACATCCAAAATGGAAAGTAATCTCTCTTATCCACCTCAAAATAATTTCCTCCTCTAAGAGTTGCTGCAGATGTTATACTCTTAGTTTACCTGTGACTTTTCTTTGACAATGATCACTCTTCCCTTCTTGGTTTCCCATGCCATTTTTTAAATATATATTTCACTATGTGCCTCATTGTTGCATTTTTGTTTTTGCTGCTAAGCTCTGAGTTCAGTGAGGGTAAGGATGCTGAATAGAAGCTAGAGTGATGGTGTCAGCAGTCAGGATCTCATCAGGAGCTCATTGTTCTTTAAAACAATATTTACTGAATGAGGAGGATAAATGGTGAAAGTCTACACGTCTGGAAGGTACATCAGTTGTTAGATGTGCACTAGTGAAAGAACAATTGAAATCAGACTGTAGCTAATACAAATGTAGCACTTTGACAACTCCACACCTTACTGGCTTGGGGTGATTTTCACAGTGAAAGGTGAGGTAATTAAAACTAACTCCATTCTGCAGATAAAGAGACTTAACTGTTTTCCTCCTTTTTCACAATTGTCATGCACAAAATGCATCTTAGAGGAAATGGATCTGAATCCAGTCCCTGTTCCTGGTGCCTGATGTACTGTCCAGCATATCAACACCAAATTGTGGGAATCAGCTTTTGTGTTTTTATTTTAGTCTTTTAGGTGAGTTATGCCAAGGAAATCATAGTTCTGATTTTGAAATGGAAACTGGTAAGAAGATATGATTTAAGAGTAGTTGACTTTGTATACTAGCACTTGGAGCTTATAGAAATTGAATGCTCTTTTAGAATCTATTAAACACATTGGACTAAACTCAGGCACCAGTGGCTCATGCCTGTAATCCTAGCTACTCAGGAGGCTGAGATCTGAGGATCATGGTTCAAAGCCAGTCTGGGCAGGAAAGTCCATGAGACTCTTATCTCCAATAAACCACTAGACAACTGGAAGTGGTGCTGTAGCTCAAATGGTAGAGTGCTCGTCTTGAGCTGCAGAACACAGGGCAGCACCAATGCCCAGAGTTCAAGCCCCCCAACTAACCAAAAAAAAAAAAAGAGTAGTTGACTTTGAGCTAATGTCAGATTGAATGTGTGTTCTGTATACTCCCTTTGAACTAACGTATTTATATTCAGTTAAGAATACCTTTTAAGCTGGGCTCCAGTGGCTTACACGTATAATCCTAGCTACTCAGGAGGCTGAGATATGAGGATCGTGGTTCAAAGCCAGCCTGGGCAGGAAAGTCCTTGAGACTCTTATCTCCAATAAACTGTTAGAAAACCGGAAGTGGTGCTGTGGCTCAAGCGGTAGAGTGCTCGCCTTGAGCTGATAAGCAGAGGGACAGCACCCAAGCCCAGAGTTCAAACCTCAGGACCGATCAAAAAAAGAAAGAATACCTTTTAAATACCCCTAATTTCAAATAGCATCAAACCATATGATGAGAACTTATTTGGTACTTGCCACACAACTTGTGATCGATTCTATTATTGCTATTTTATATCTGTTCAAAAACCCCCCAAAACTAAGGCAAACAGAAGTTACATGTCTTGCTGAGATCACATAGCTTATAAGTAATAGAGATTCATTTAGAACTTCGTTACCAAGAATCCAGTACTCTCCTTGACTACATTCTGTTTGTATATACTTTAAATATATAGGGACATACATGCCTATTTGAGAAATTTAACTGAATATTCAATACTGATTGTGAGTCCTAATGATGTGTATAGTGCATTGTTTATATACAGTAATCTGTGGCTTTTTCTGTTTTTAAAAGAAATATGATGATAAAAGAATTAATAGGACAAGCACCAGATTCTCCCTTCCTCCTTTTCAAGATATATACATATTTGTATATATACTACGTATATCTTACATATATAATAAATACATATATGTATATGACATATATAAAACATATATATGTGTACACATGTATATGTTATATATGTGAGATAAATGTAGTATAGTATTATATATAGAATTAATGTTCCATATACATAATGTTTTGTATATATGGAACATTAAGTTTTACAACTGATTGATTGAATGCATAAATACTTTGATATAGTGAAGGCTATTCATTTGGAGGATGAAAAAGCCTCACAGCCTTTTCACTGTTGTTTTCACAATTAGCCCACTGGTGGCTTCTGTTAGTGCATCTGATTGGAATCATGTTTCTGACCTGACCTAGCAGTTAGGATACTCCATAAGTGTGCATCTTAATTGGAAATGAATCACCACTTTGATTATTTTGAACTGATCAGACATTGAGCTTTATTTTTATGGCTGTCAAAGGTTTTTACGTGTGTGTTGACAACAACTTTTTAAAAAAGCTATCCAAGACAAAAACAAGTGACATCCTTAGAAACAGTTGACTGATTTGTCAGCTGCTTTATCTTAAATTAAAAATCTTGATCTTGAAGAGTGAATATACCATATCAGTCTACAGGAAAATTGTAAATAGAAGCATAGCTTGTGTAAAGTTCTTTTTATATTTATATAATTTACATAGCTTAGCAATAAAGTGGTAGCCATATGATCTTGCTTTTGTTTTAGAATTTAGGCTTTGCATATGTGGGTGGGATGATGGAGTTAAAGTAAAATAGAAAACATTTTCTTACTGTATTACAAAATAAATACCTTAATGTTAATCTCTAGTAAATCTTGGAATTATCTCTGCTGCTTGAAAAGTAAAGATCCTTTGCTTTTTTTCCCTCTAGAAACGTGCTAAGGGTCAAATGTTATTTGACAAAGTGTGTGAACACCTCAATCTTCTGGAAAAGGACTACTTTGGACTTTTGTTTCAGGAAAATACTGAACAAAAAGTAAGTGATTGCAACTTTATATTTTTAAAACCAATTTAATCTCAGTATAAAATTTAGCTTTAAATAACGCTCGTTCAGATTATATTTATATTCACCATGCAAATTTGGTGAATAAAATTATCTTGTATGAGAGAACCACTTACAACTTTGTGTATGTGTGTGCACATGTGCATGTACACATACTTTCCAGTTATGAACAGACAGAATGGTATGACTTCTGAGTTGAGACAGAAAGAACTAATTTAAAAATTATATTAAATTTTCAGCTCTTATTTCTTATGGAGTCATTTTCGGTGATGAATTTGTATGTGTGTGAAGTACTTTAAAAATACATAAAGGAAAGATTTTATTTTATTTTATTTTTTGTTGGTCATGGGGCTTGAACTCTGGGCCTGGCCACTGTCTCTGAGCTCTTCAGCTGAAGGTGAGCATTCTATCATTTGAGCTATAGCACCACTTCCAGTTTTCTGGTTTATTGGTGGTTTATTGGAGGTACGAGTCTCATGTACTTTCCTGCCCCGGCTGGATTTGAACCATGATCCTCAGATCTCAACCTCCTGAGTAGCTAGGATTATAGGTTTGAACCACCAGTGCCCAGCTAGGAAAAGACTTTTAATTGTGGGGAAATTGATGTTCTGGAATAAAAACAAAAAACTTTAAAAGTGGTATTATATCAATCACATTCTCTCTATTCCTGGCTCTTTGTGCTAAATATAGAAGCTAATTAAGTCAGCTTATTTTGTTAGCATACACATGTGCAGTACCTGTATGTCAGTTATTGAGCATTCCTGAAAAGTAGAGAGGCATTGGGAGGAATGATAAGTGTAATAATACCTACCTATATTTGTTTAGAGGCTCAGGAGAATTTGTCTTGCTGAAAAGACCAGAGGGGTGCTCTTGCTCTGTTGCTGTTGAGAGCCATAGATGAGAGCTAGCTTTACTTATATGGTAGATTTTTCCACCAGTCAGATCTGCTTGACATCAGGAGGTTGTTTCAGATTGCAGCCTACAGAGGAAGTCCTTCTAACCCTGTTTGGGGCTGTGGATAGACAGACTCACTGTAATAATTCTGAGGATGCCCAGCACACTTGGTAGCAGTGAAAGACATTACTATCCAATATCTAACATTCAATACCATCAGTAGAACAGAACAGTCATTACAGGAACTTAGTGTAAATTTTGTTATTTGCTGCCACTATTGTTTCTATTTACATGTCCAAGTATAAAAAAAGGAAGGCTAGAGTGATCAGTATGTAAATTAATGAAGCTTTAAAGTTGCTCAGTTTTTTATATCTCTGATAATTTTGGTGTAATTATGTGTTTAGACTGAAGACAATTAAATTGCATGCCTGCCTACTGAACAGTGTATATTTTATCAGAACTGTTTAGAATACTCTTTAGCAAAGTAGTAGTAACAAATTAGATGAAATAAACTAGGTGCTATTTTAAGGCTATAAATTTTAAGTTACTTTTGATATAGTTTTCCATTTGTGCTCCTTCTGTTAGCCCTAAAAGGGTCCTGAGTAAAATAAAAAAGAATGTGGTGGGCATTTGGCTATTATTACCATATCATTATTTTTGAGAGTATATATTGATATATTGATAGAGGTATTTAATCTTTGTAAAATATATAGACAATTTATTATGTTGTAAAATAATGTGTTCTAGTAGAAACAGAATAAGACACATTAAGAAATATTATAGGGCTGGGAAGGTGGCTCAGTGGTAGAGCGCTTGCCTTGCATGCTCAAGGCCCTGGGTTCGATTCCTCAGCACCACATAAGCAAAAAGAAAAAAAGCCGGAAGTGGCGCTGTGGCTCAAGTGGTAGAGCACTAGCCTTGAGCTGAAGAGCTGAGGGACAGCGCCAGGCTCAGAGTTCAGGCCCCACGACCGGACCCCCCCCCCAAAAAAAGAAATATTATATAGGGGAGGGAAAGTGGGAGAAAAATGAGGATGGGGTAACAGTGTTCAATAAGAAATGCATTCATTGCCTTACTTATGTAACGGTAACTCCTCTGTACATCATTTTTACAATTTAAATAACAAATGGTATATCTAGAACATTGATTTTACATAAGAAAGAATGATATTTAGATAGTAGAACTCTTTAATTTGCAAAATACATGTCTTGTTTATATCTTAAACCTGAGTCTCAGACTCATACATACTTAACTGTTTATTGGACACTATTGTACCTTCAGTTGCCTAAAAGCCAACTAGTTATCTTCTCTGTAAACATTATCTGATTCCTGAAGGGTAGTTCTAATTCCTTCTTCCTCTTTTCCTTTGTCTTGCTTTTCAGCATCCCTCTTTTCCACCTGCAAGAATTTTACTTTTGTTTAGGCCTTTGATATCTCTTGCTTTGATTATTTGTTAGTCCCTTAATTGGACTTTTATCTTTGTTAAGTAAGCCCAGAAGATTCTATCTGATCTTGTTAAATGTCTTAGAATCATTTAATGGTTATAAGCTAGCCCATGTAGTGTGGTTTATAAGACTCTTTGTTTATGTGACTTCAATCAAGTTGGGCTTCTCAGTAATCATTTCCAGTCCATTTTCAACATATTCCAAATTTCTCTTCCAAAAATGAGTCTTGTCAATACACTCTATGTCTGCTTGATGTATTCCTTACACAGAGAATATTACTCCCATTGCTTTTCTATTTAAATGTCTACCTTTCCCTAAATAGCTTCTGGATTTTTCCTAGACTGCCTTCTGTCACTCTGCCTGTCTTCAGTTCAGGGGAAGAGAGATGGCAGTTTGTACTTTCATCAACAAAGTTACCCTTTATTCTCATTACCTATAACTACATCTGAAAATGGAATTATGAACTGAAAACTGGAGAATTGTATTTTGACAAGACCCAGGTTTGGCAAGGAATACAATTGTTGATTTCAAAGAAAGATAGTCATTAAAGACAGTAAAAGATAAGAATAGGTTTGGGTAGGTTTATGGTAATATTTTCATTGACAAAAAGATGCTAATACCAAATTAAGTGGTCACTTTATATTTAGGCTTTCACTCAAGAACATTGAGGTCATAAACAGTGGGGTATCCTTCCTGAGATGTTCACTTTCTAAGAAATGTATATTCCAATATGGTTATCAGTGTATTTCTGTAATTAGTGTGTTTTCATAGTTTTTATTTTATGCAAATTTTTATTCTTCCTATTATGTAGACAAATGCCAGTCCTCAATATTTTGGGGTAAACTAATTCTTTATTTTTCCAATAAAATTTGCGTGGCATCCTGTTTTGTTTTGATAATTAAAATTTTTGTATTATTCCTTAATCAGTTGTGCTTGGTTTGAAATCTGTACATTTTTAACAGTAGGATAGAGTAATGTAATTTTATTTCTTCATCTTCTTTTTTGTGCTGAGGACTGAACCTAGGATTTCGTGTATAAGCATGTGCTCTACTTTCCAACTATACCTCTAGTGCATTTTTTTCATGCTGAATATTATTTCTGTGTTTACAGAAGCTCCGGATACTTATTCCAGCCTCTTAAATAGTACAAGTGAGGCAAAGCCATGAATATTTGCTGTGAAATTTTTTCATAGAGGCAAAAGTCCAACTACTCTATCTCTCATGGTTGACATACTAATTTGGAAGCTTTTCAATTGATTTTGAATATGAAAGTGTGACATTGTTAGTGTTTGAACTTTTTAATGTGTGTTGAGAACACTTGTGTAAACTTTGCTATGGAAAATGTTAAAATAAGAGAAATCAAATAATGTGTTATATTCTTTTATAAACAGAATACTGTCTCTATGTAGTTCACATATTCATGTCCAAAGGAAACTGTCATTGGGAATTTTGGACTCTGTTTAAAGGAAAAAACACTGTCATGATTTTTTATGTTAATAGAGTTGGGCATTTGGCCCACATATTATACTGTCATTTTGCTGTACTTGTTATAAGTGTAGTTAATACTTATGGCTGACTTTATGAAAATTAATTAGAGCAGCTGTATGATAGTCAGACCATTTTACTTCAGAAATAATACTAAGAACTCAAATATTATAGTTATGCACATATAAATATTTTAAAATAAAATTCCATAGTTAGTCTAGTTAAGTTTTATAATTCTACATTCTTCTAGCTATATAGTAGATGTTTCACTGTGATAAAGAAAGCCTGTGACTTGTCTTCTGATACCAGCATTGTAGTAGACTCTGAGATTTAATTACACAAAAGTATATATTAAAGAAGATCTGTTGCAGTGCTATAAATTCCTGTGGGAAAATACAGGGTTAAGACAAAACTACTTTTGTGCTGTCAACATTTAGTAATACAGTGTGAGTTGGGTTGTATTTTTAATTTCTTTCCCTGGCTAAATTGAAGTTTTAACAAAAATGAGGAAGGCATATCTGAACATTTGAAAAATCTCCTGTGGATTTTGAGTAGGTCTTACTTGAAATGAAATTAGGGGAGAGATAGAGGTTAAGAAAAATATATTCAAACATTTGTTAAAACATCAAGGCAGAATTTATTCAGGACTCTTTAAAATAGTTATAGGTATCACTGTAATGGAGTTTTGCAGTAGGCTAAAACTTGGGCTCAATTCCGAATACAAAAAGGAAAAAGATACATATAGTTGAGAAGCCAAGGTTGTAGGTCAGGCAGGGCAGGGTGTCAGCAGATAGAATATTATTAAAACAAACAAACAAACAAACACAAAATTGTCAGCTTAGCGTGGCTCATGCCTATAATCCTAGCTACTTAGGAGGCTGAGATCTGAGGATTACAGTACAAAGCCAGCTGGGGAAGAAAAGTCAATGAGACTCTTATCTCTAATTAACCACTAGAAAACTGGAAGTGGTGCTGTGGCTCAAGAGGTAGAGTGCTGACCTTGAGCTGAAGAGCTGAGGGATAGTGCCCAGGCCCAGAGTACAAGCCCCATGACTGACCCCCCCCCCCAAAAAAAAAAGTCAGCTTTCAGTTTCTGTCACAAAATATTTGAGGAAAATAATTTAAAGGACCAAGGTCAATTTTGAATCAC